GGAAGTAAGCAGCAAACTTAGACTCCCCCATCTTCTGCATAGTCCCAGATTAACTAGGGAGGACTGAGCTGGTACTCCCAGGTTCCAGCTCCCTGGGCCTGTCCTAGTTTAGGCCTTCCCATTTCCTGATCTCAGGAAGGAGTTTGAAGAACACATGAAAGAATTACCCCAAGACCACATCTAACCCTTGAATAGTAAACTAGTTAATGGAATTAATAGAAGACAACTCCCTTGATCATTAATTTCTTTTGCATAAATTTTAATTTTTAAGTATTTTGTTAAAATATCATTATTTTGATTACTCAGATTTTTGGCAGCCTCTTAAATTTTGCACCTTAATTGCATACCTTGCTTGACCCACCCTAGTCTGACCATTGGCAGCTGCCCCTGCCTGAGCTACCTGGAGCCCTTGTACGTTGCAGGATGTAGCCTGGGCCTAACTATGTGAGACCCTTGGTGGGACACAAGCATCTCACTCCGTGACAGTTGGGGGACCAGCATCCTGGGCTAGCACTTCTCTCAGAACCTCAGCTGGACTGTATTGAGGCCATACCTGTAAGGTACATTGAGACCTTTGGGCATCAAATCAAGAGTACCTTGATTTTTGTCATAGATGGCGAGAATTTGCTAACATACCACCATTCATCAAGAGTTATATGAGGGTCTAAGAATTTCACAAAATCTGGATTGTTCTGATTTGATTAAGTCCACATTCTTTAGCATGGCCTGTAATAAAGCCAGCCTATCATCACTTCTCTTCATCTGTTTCTAGTGTTGTGTCTTGTCATTCCCCCATGTACTCTTTATTCTTGTTACAGGGAACAATTTAATTGGTTTTCTATTTCACACGCATAAGAAGTACTTTCATGCCTCTGTGGCTCTGCTCGTGCTGTTTCCTTGCCTGGAATACCTTTTTTCCATCCTCTCTGCCTGATGAACTCTTTACTTAACTTCAAGGCCCAAATAAAATGCTATCTTCTCTGTAGTTTCCAGTAATGTGTTGCCCTTATTGAAGTTCACTAACACTCCTGATACTCCCTGTCCCGTTTTCATGTAGCTGTTTTTTTATGTGTCTCCCTATAAGATGGTGAACTCAGTGAATGGTTTGAAAACTCAGGAAAGAGCAATTCCTGGGGTTACTTACTTCCTTTCTTCATCCTCTTCATTTATTCTCCCCATCCTATTACTTCATTCATCTTTGTATCCACAGCTGTTAGCATAATGCTTGGCACATAGGACGTACTTAAACATTTGTTGAAAATGATGAAAGCTGCAAGGCATCATGCAAAATGTGGTTCTTTTATCTGCACTTTCTATTTCCACTTCTCAGAAGATTTTGGTTACTGGTCCCAATTTCTTCTCCTGATCATTTCTGTTCTTTCTGGCCATATGCATCCCACTCCAATTTTACCTAGCTTTCCTTAGCTAGCTCTCCCAACCCACTCCACTCATTTATTCCCTCATTCAGCACATGCTTATTGAACACTTGCTGTTCTGTATGTACTTTTCTAGGCATTGAGGCTACAGCAGTGAACAAGATAGGTGGGATACTTTCATGGAGCTTACATTATGGTTGAATAACTAGACCAAAACACGTTAGCAAACAAGATAATTTCAAATAATGATGAGTTCTAGAAAGGAAATAAAGTGATACGATAGGGAGTTGAAGAGAAGTTAGTCAGGTTAGCCCCCTCTGAGGAGGAAATATGGAAATCTGGAGGACAAGGAGAAAGCTATCTGGGGAGCTGCAGAAAAAAAAGTCTCAGGTGAAAGGTCAGCAAGTACACAGGCCTAGAGATAAGATCAAATGACTGAAAATTATAAAGCATTACATAAATAAACAAAATGATTCCATTGAAGTATTCCTTAGCCTGTCACTATCCCTTCTTCCCTTTCACAACAGAGTAGCTTGATCCCTTCTGAGAAGTGATTGACTTAAACTCCATCTTCCTTACTACTCAAATCACGGAATTTTTTTTCCAGTAAATACCTCTGAAGCTCACCTGAAGTTTGTTTAACTGAAGCACCAATCTATGGGGAGTAAGAAGCATTGTGCAGTCCTTTTTGTGGGCCCTATTTTGAGGGACTTCTCTGTCCTATTACTTCCAGAAAGACTGGGTGCTATTCTCCCGTATCCAGGGAAGGTTTATCTCACAGGAACACTTAGGTGGACATCCAGGAGTAGCATGAAGGGGAAAAAGCCATTTCTCTGGACAGATACCCACAAGAGCCTGAGCCCAGACTCCACTTCTGTGAATACCAGGAGTGTCTCCTCACCCCTACAGCCATTCTTGTTACCCTTCCTCTATACTGTGTGTTGCCCTCCACTGGGCTGCCATGCTCAGCTGGTGAGGGGGTCCAGAAGAGCTGGCCTCCTCTCTTAGATGCCAGAGCAGCTGCTTAAAGAGGTCAGAGAGCTTCCTGCTGCAGGAGACATGAAACACTTTCAGTAAGCCAGGAACCAGAATCAAAACCATATGGCTTGACTTTTCAGTAAAGATCACAGGGCCTGAAAATTAGAGGAAGGAGGGCCAGTCAGGGGACAAGTTTTGGGGGTAAAGGAGATGCGCCTATCCAAATCCTGGCAGCCCTGTACTCACAAGTACAGCTCCCCTACCAAAGGGCCCTCCTGTCCGTGGACTACTGGCCCATTTGGACTCACCTCAGTCCCAGACTGGAGAAATTCAAACAATAAAGGCCAGAAGAATGAGATTATCCACTCCCTGATACATCCTGGTCCCCTAAAGTCCTCCTAATCGGATACCCCCAAATGAAAACTGTCCTTATTTACTCTTATCTCTAATGAACTGACATACCCCACATCTTAAAAATATTAAATTAGCAGCCCTTTATCTGCTTGTTCTAAATAGATACAGGTTCTAAATAGATACAGATTCTCTAAATTTTTCTTGGATTTTTAGATTTGTCTTAGATTTTTCCAAGGTGCTCCTGAGTAGAATCCTCAAGCACTAAAAAGGAATTCATGCTAATAACTCCTTCTACAAGGATAAACTACATGGACCTAATGTGGAAGACTGGATTAGGATATGCTTTAGGACTTTAAATGCCAGGGCTTCTGGTAGTTGCAGTGGTTTCCTGTCCTTACTGATACACGAGCAGGGAGGTTTACGGACAAATTGGGGAGGAGGTGCTTCATGCCTGAAACGGAGATAGCCCACAGCATCTTCTGGTCTGCAGAACAAGGCACCCAAGAAAAGAGTGAATTCTAATTCTCACTGTCCACCAACTGCCTCCCTGCTCCCCTGACTCCAGCCTGCCGCTTCAGTGGCTCCATGTAAAAAGCAGTGTTTGTGGGAAAAGATCCATGTCCACAAGCTTCCATGCCCATGCACAAGAGTTTGGCGTGGGTGCCTTTGCTTTATGGCCCAGGCCATCCCATAATGGGAGGAACATTCCAGGTAGCCCTTTGCTATATGAAAAGGGTAGGGCTACAGTGCCTCACAGATGACAGCCTGCTGCATAAGCCTCTCCCATAATCTGTTCACCCAGGGAAGGTCTGCAATATGCTGGGTCATGGAAGAAAAAGCAAAACAAAAAATAAAACAAAATAAATAAACATGGGTTCTCCTAACTTTCTTCTACAGGTATTTTCTTGGATAGAGAGGGAAATGAAAAGTCTGATAGAGAGGATGGCTCTCCTTCTTGGCTGCTGTTGAAAGTAAGTGTTTACAGGGTTGAGTGGTCAGTGATTTGAGGGTGGGACTTTGTCTTAAGCTTCCCAAAGTTGCAAGATTGATCCTGTTACTGCCTCCTGGACCCCCTGACTTGCTTTACTGTATGCTGAAGTCAAAGCAGGGAGCAATCTCCTGAAGCCCTTTGATTCCAAAAGGAATTCTCAATTCTAGCCACCAAAGACATAGGCCTGGCTCTAGAAGCTTCAACCATGCATTCACAGGAAATTCAGAAAAGTTGGAGTTCAGCCTTTGCTCATTTCCTGATGTTATTTTTCATTGCCATTCAAGGACTACAGGCAGAACCCAAGGGACTGGCTATTTGAGTGAATTCATTGGGGACATTGCCAGTTACAGTTCATTCTTGTCAACCACAGAAACAGGATTAAATTAAGTTTTAGACACATCTTCCAGAATGTATTAGGCACTACTAGGTTGGCAGGATTGTTTTGAAGTTTTTGACCAAAATAAGTTATATTTGAATGTGTTTCATATATATTTTTTGTATAGACCCTATCTTATTTAAGCATCACAATAATACTAAGCTTTAGAAAGAGAAAATACGAATATCACTATTATATAGGTGAGGAAACAAACATAAAGAGATTAAATGAATTGCCAAAAGTTATCTAGCTCTGTTGTTACCAGGGTTGGGACTAGAACAGTGATATCCTAACTTCCAGTTCAGTGCCTTTTCCACTATTCCACCTTAAAAACAAACATCTTCCAAAAAGCTGCAGTAAGATGGGGTACTTGGCAATCACAGAACCTGTTCCCTGGGCTCCCATTATAATTGTGGGGTCCTCCTCTTTCAAGGCTGAGTCATCCTTTGCCACAGTGTGATCCCTCAGATTCATATGCAGTTCACATGCACGGAGCACTTTGCATACTATCATCTCAATTTACTTTCCAGTATCTCCATTGAGAATATTATTTACCCACAGTACTGATAAAGAAACTGAAGCTCAGAGAAGACAGATACAGTAGCTTAAAATCCTAGAGCTTGTAAGTGGCAGTCGGAGCTGAAACCAGGTCTTCTGATACTCTGATCCTCTTTCTGCGATACCCGAGAGATCTAGAAACATTAGTCATAATAAATATCAAACATAGATCTCCAGAAGTTGGGTTCATGGACTTGACCTACATGAGGCAGATTCTAGGGCTGTGATACCATATAATGCAGTAGCGAACCTCCAGTTTCTCCAGAAAGGCAAATACCCTTCCCATTGGGTATCCACAGAGAAACACATGAGCATGTTTATGTGGCATGTGCTGCCCCGCCTCTCCATCAGGGGTTTGGTCACAGCTACAGCATCTTGACAACCTATTTAAACCAATTTGCAGTAACAGGCAACAAAGTATTATTCCCTGACAGGCTAAGTCCTTGAGCCTCTGCAGACTGTGGAAAAGGGAATCTTCAGCTGAAAGAGTCAAGAACCAGGGAGTCCCAGAGAGGTATGTAATAAATTACATGCAAATGTTTTCTTTCTCTCTCTCTCTCTTTTTCTTCCTTTCGTCCTTTCTTTTTCAGTCAGTTCATTCAAAGAGCAAACAAATTGTTTTCACCTTATCAAGCAAGCTGAGAAGTACATCCTTTTTCTTTATTCTTGGGTGGGTTTGCACCAAAGGATTGAGAGGGCTAACAACATCTGGAAAATTAAGGGTGGCATCTGATTTATCAGAGAGCACTTTGTACCTATGACAGAATTATCCGAATAGGTAAATGGGTTGCAAATACCTCAGCAAAATCCAATTAGAGGCTTCCAAGTCCATTCTAATTTACAGCTTCCACACTATTTACCTGTGGTATAGGCAGCTCATCTGTTTTGAAAGTCTTCTAAGAACCCCTGACTGTACAAATCAGTCCAACAAATAGCTGAATGTGCATGTCGCTCCGTTAGAGAAAGGCAGACCTAGACTTAAGTACTAAATTGTATCTCATGGCATCTGAACAGCCTAGAAGGCCTGGCAGCTTTGTTGTGCTCTGTGGCTAGCAATTAGGTCATTAGGTAACTCACAAAACTCCTCTCCAGCAGCTCAGGCTCTCCTGGGGTTAACTCTTGCTGTGGGGCTGGGATGAGGAAAAACAGATCTTCCCAAGCTGCAGCTGCAATTGACATTTTTCTTCACTCCACACCTGAACTCCTGCTTCCTGGAAGAGAAACCTGAGTAAAGACAGCTGTAGCGACAGAGAAGCGTTCTTCTTGGTAGTGGCCACTTCTGACTTCAGATTTGTGGGCACTGAGCTAAAAGGAGTGCAGAGAGAGAGGACTCGGAGGTAAATGACACTGGGAAATGGGAAATTCAGGGAAGAAAGGACCTGCCTTTCTTCCTCTTAAAAAAGTGTCCTTTGCAAGGTTCATCTTTTCATTTGGACTGGTAAGTCTCAAAATTTTTAGTCCTTAGACTACTTGAGCAGAACAAAAGAGTCTCATCTATTTGCCAGATTAAATAAACAAGCCAGCAAATGAAAAAACATTTCTGCGGTGTTTTTGCTGAATCCTTGTGATTATTTGTAGCTCCCTTTAAACATGTTTGTTTTGATGCTCTAAAGTTTTTATTGAAATCCCTAGTGGAAAATATGTTTCAAAGAGAAAAAAAAAAAAAACACTCAACACACTTCTGTGCCTTGCATTTTGACCCAGCCCACAGAACGATTGGAAGAATCTTTGCAGACCCACCAGAGATCCCTGGATTCCACTTGGAGAACCATTGATCTAAAAACATCTTGATTTCAGAACCCTTCTTTTCATCTGGAATTATCTATCATTGACCGCAGAGAGCTGCTTCTGACGACTCCTGGGACAGGGCCCTGTGTAGTGAGAGGTAAGCCCAGTGTGAGAAGAAGAAATCTCTTTCTCAGTGGGTGTTTTGGTATGGTACAATATCCATGCTCAGTATGAGATCTATGAGCTCAATTTCTTCTTCTTCTCCTTCTCTACCACTTCTTTTTCCTTTCTCTCCCACTTCTTTTTCCTTTCTCTCCCCTCCTTCCTCCTCCTCATCTTCTACTTTTTGTTTGTTTGTTTCTTCTATAGTAAAAATTCCTCAAGCCCCCAGTTCCTAAGTGATTTTTGCCTGGCACATCCCACTAACTGGAGTTTCATAATTACAGTTTCATATTCGGGTGCAAAATTTTCCTAAATATTTGAACATCTAAAATCTTGTAAAAGCAGCTGGCCACTGTCTATGCCTTGTATGTAGGTAGCTGAGAAGTATGTAGTACCAGAGAAGAGAAGGCTGCAGATCTGTGCCCTTAACTGTACCACAAATGTGGAGCTCTATTGAGATATGTGTAGAAAAAGAGAACCTTCACGGAGGGAGCAGCCATGTTGCAATGAACCTATAAATCAGATGATATGAAGAACACGTCCAGGGAGTAATGGAACCATACCCTGGAAGCATGAAGTTACAGTAGTTCCTTTGTCAAACTGCTGAAAATAAAGGAAAATATTGTCACTCATATTGAAGGTAGGGCATGCGTCTGCATCTCCTTTGCTTAAGCCATAGGGGTTTCATTAAGGATCGGGGCACTAATGCTGATGGCTTCACTTTGGGCACAACCCTCAGCAGGACGGCCCCATGCAAAGGTAATTACCAGGAATGGGGGGCCCATTATAGCCTTTTGATTTGGTCACTCAAACATCCTGTCAGTCAGATGTAGAAAGGAGACCGAGTCTTACCTCAAAAGAAGTAAATTGTGGATTTAAGTATTTGGTTTCAGTCTTTGTCGGGTTTAGGCTTTGAAAAGCAGACCTGTGGGTTAAGGAAACCACGTACCAGATTCTATTGCTTTGGAGCCCTGAAAATATTCAAGGATATAAGGAAATGTGAAACCCAAATCAAGACAATTATTTTTAATTGGCTGTTTTACTTTCAAGTGCAGTAACCCCCATTTTGTGTAAATGGCTCTGAGTCGGAATGCAATCTGGGAAACAGGCTGTTTCCGGTTCTTCAAGACAGTCTAGGGGAATTTCAAAATTAAAATAACATAAAACCTGTTGTCTTTTGGTTACACCATGAATATTTCTCTCTTCTAAGCACTTCTGTATATGGGTAAGCATTCTAGCAAAGACGCCGTTACAGTCCGGCATGGAGAAGCAAACGAGCCAAATGTTCAGAGCTGGGCAAAAGAGCCGAGACACTAGTCAAAAAGAGTGAGGAGTTCTTATAGAAGAAAAGTGGAAAATAGGAACCAAAAAGATCAGATGTCAGTTGGGAATGAAGGGCAGTGGATGGTGGCAGGGTGTCATCTTTGATTGAGATAAGAAAGAATACAGTTCAGGGAAAATGTACCAAAAGAAAAAAAAAAAGGTCATGGCTTGAGAGAAAACTGACTTCAGCTGGGTAGGGAAATATTATTCAGATTTTGGGGAGGAAATTGGGAAGAACTGTAAAGCTAGAGTCTGTATCCAATTTAAATATCTGTGCAGCTGGGTCTGGGAGCCAAAGTAATCCCTAGAACCCTGAAAGGTATGCATTTTGCTCGTTGGGCAGCTATCTTGAGGAAAAGGAAGAAGAATGGGGTCATTGCAGAGGGGGAGAGTTCCATAAGCCCTTCTGATGGCCCCCACAAAGGTAGGATCCAGACATAAATTGCCTGCTAGACAGCCACCAATTTTGTCTCTGTCTGTTCCTCAGACCCATGCTTATATTTCTTTCTTTATATTCAGGTGTTTTTAAGAAGAATCAGCTTGGAGCAAAAGTACTAAATTCAAAACATTCCACACCACAATTTAAATCTTGCTTAAAAGGATGAGAAGGGTGACCCTTCATTTATTTAGAAGTAGTCGTCATAGACAGGATCATAGGCATTACGTGTTTTGCTCTTTCTTTGGTTTGTTCTGCTCTCAAGTGCCATCAGGCCTCATTCAATACAGTCAGTAATTGGACTCTTAGAAGGGAGAAAAGTTGTTACTTAAAATTGCCTCCTTATGTCTTATAGTCGCATCTTTTGACATTTTCTTCCAGGGAAGTGTATGCAGTGATGACTCACTGGGGGTATCTGCTTTAGGTTAGTTCAACTGTGAAATACATTAGGAGGCCTTCTTTACCTTAAGCATCGCTATAAATTAGGGACACAGAAAAATTTACCAGACCCTAGTGAATGCATTAACTGACTGGAGCTTCACTGTCATCAGGTAGCCTGACTCACAGGAGCAGCAGGCCCTGGTATACCAAGCTCAGGAGTAGGAATTAGTAAACCAGTTTCTAGTCCTGCATCTACTTCTAACAGCATGTGAGGCCTTTAATCTAGTCATTGACTTGCTCAGGGCTGCAATCTTCCTGTGCATCAAATGGGAAGACAAAGACTAGCCCCCCTTACTTGTAGATAAGATGACAACTCAAAGTATTTTCCTTACCTGAGGGAAGGGAGCTGGATCAGAAAGAGAAAATAGTGACAGCTGACTTTTTCATTTGATTGCTTAATTTTTAAAATCTTGATCTCCCTCTTCCCTGGGCTCCTGAATGGAGTGGACACATTTTTATTTTCTTCGAAGTAAAGTTATTTTTGAAAAATTTTCTGTTTCTGTTGGACAAAAATGTCTTCAGCTTGATGAACTTTCACCACATGAACACACCCAGGAAATGAACCTGGATCAAGAAATAGGGCACTGCTAGCAACCAGAGGCCCCTTCATGTCCTTTTTAAGTCCTTTCTTCCAAGAATAACCACTACCCTGATTTCTAACACCATAATTAAGTTTTGCCTGTTTAGGGGGGAAGGGGTTATATATGTGTGTATGTACTTTGATGTGAGACTTCTCTTGCTTAATATTAGGTTCATAAGATTCATTTATGTTATTGCATGTAGTAATATTTTATTTTCATTGCTGTATTGTTATATTTCATGAATTAATATACTACAACTTATTTATCTTTTCCCTTATTGATGGACTTTTGGGTTGTTTCCAGTTGCGAAGTGTGATGAATAGTTCTATTAGGAACATTTATGAACAGTTTTTTTCTGAACATATGAATACATTTCTACTGGGTGTATCTAGAAGTAGAATTGCTGAATTATAGGATATGTATGAGTTCTGCTTTAACAGATACTTCCAGTTTTCCAGAGTAGTTGTATCATTTTTACACTCCCACCAGCCATGTCTGAAAGTTCTGTTTTTTTTCTGCATTCTCATCAGCACTTGGTATTGTCTGTCTTTTACATGTAGCCATTTTGGTGGGTGAGTAGTGGAATGCTTTTTGATTTTAATTTGTATTTCCTTGATGGCTAATGAAGTTTGAGCACCTTTTAATATATTTATTGGACATATGGATGTCCTGTTTTGTGAAATACCTTTCAGGTCTTGACCCTATTCTTCTGTTGGATTGTCTGACATTTTTATTGATCTGTAAGCTATCTTTAAATATTATAAACATTTGTTATGTATATACTGCAAATATCATTTTCCACAATGCTGTCAAATCATATTGGAGCCTGAGGCAAAGGGAAAATCAGAAATGTTGATACCTATCTTTATTTAAAGTTTTGACATTTTGTTCACCATGGATTTTTTAAATTAATTTTTCTTTTAAAAAATATTGCATTAACATCTTATTTGTTTTGAATACTAAGGGGCTTTTTTTTGGTGCCCCCTTAAAAATTTGTGTTCAAGCTTAGTACCTCACTTGCCTCACCCTAGACCTGGCTATTATTCCATTCTGTGGCTTGCATTTTCATTCTCTTTATAGTGTTATTTGTTGAAAAGGCTTTCCTAATTTAAATTTGAATTTAAATTAATTTAACTGAATTTTTCAAGCTTTTCTTTTATGGTTAGCATCTTTAAAAAAAATTCTGTTTAACAGTCACCCAAGTCCAGGAAGCACAGAGAGTTCCTCACTGGATCAACTCAAAGAGAAACACACCAAGGCACATAGTCATCAAATTGACAAAAATTAAGGATAAGGAGAAAATATTAAAATTAGCAAGAGAAAAGCAACAAATAACATACAAGGGAACTCCCATAAGGTTATCAGCTGATTTTTCAGCAGAAACTCTACAGGCCGGAAGGGAGTGACACAACATATTTAAAGTGATGAAAGGGAAAACTTAACCAAGAGTACTCTATACAGCAAGGCTCTCATTCAGATTTGATGGAGAAATCAAAAGCTTCACAGATAAACAAAAGCTAAAAGAATTCAGCAGCACCAAACCAGCTTTACAACAAAAGTTAAAGGAAGTTCTCTAATCATCAAACCTTAGGAAAAGAGAACAAAAAGAAGAAAAAGAAAAAAAAAACTACATTAAGAGTGCCTTAGCAGTTCAGGGTCTTTTATGGTTCCATATAAATTTTGGAATTGTTTGTTCTAGTTCTGTGAAAAATGTCATGAATATTTTGACAGGGGTTGCATTGGATCTGTACATTGCTTTGGGTAGTACGGCCCTTTTAATAATGTTGATTCTTCCAATCCAAGAGCACAAGATATCTTTCCATTTCTTTGTATCATCTTCAATTTCCTTCATCAGTGTTTTACAGTTTTCAGAGTATAGGCAACCTCCTTGGTTAAGTTTTTTTCTAGGTACTTTGTTGTTTTTGATGCAATGGAAATGTTTATGCCAGTTATAAAATTCTGGGTTTTGAAATGAAAAAAATAGTGAATGAAAGGCCACAAATGGCAAAATATCCTTTTTTATGGGTGAGTTGTATTCCATTGCATATGTATATGCTACATCTTCTTTATCTGTTCATCTATTGATGTGCACTTAGGATGCTTCCATATATTGGCAATTATAAATAATGTTGCTGTTAATAGCAGGGTGTAAGTATCTTTTTGAATTAATATGTTTGCTTTTCTCTGATAAATGCCCAGGAATGGAACGGCTGG